GGAAGGAAGGAAGGAAGGAAGGAAGGAAGGAAGGAAGGAAGGAAGGAAGGAAGGAAGGAAGGAAGGAAGGAAGGAAGGGACAGATTCACTCCTGAAAACTGTTATTCCTTGCTGTTCACTTTTAAGTTTCTGCACTTCAAAATATACATTCTCTGTGTCTGTGTGTGTGAAACTCCTTTTTTTCTATTTTTCTGGCTCTTTCACATCATTCTTTCTTTGCAATTCTTAGCACACTTTCCCCCCCTTCTGTTCTCCCCTCTTTCTCTGCACCTTCATCTTTCATCTCCTCTTTTCTGCCTCCCCTCAATTCTCTCTGCATTCCTGTCATTTATTTCCTCCCCTCCTCCTTTCCCCCTGGTGCTCAGGGTGCATCTTCTCCCTCTCCAAATTTAAGAACAATATTTTTTTTAAGATAATATGTTTTATACGACTCCTGTTATAATCATCCTTAAGTGGCTTACGAAATAAAAATTATTAAAATGCAAGAACAACATTACAATAACTGAGAAACAGCTAGTGTAAAAACATTTGAATTTTAATGTGGATGAAAGGGGGAAAGAAAAAAAAGGAAAGGAAAAAAAGCTTAATATTCATCCATAATATTAACCCCTCCCCCCCGGAAATTACATCATTTGTGCAACAGGGTCATGGATATGTGACATCACTTGCACCACTTTGTCCTCCTGGGGGACACCCTTGCGTTGATGCGCTGTGTTCAGTCTTTGGATTGTACATTTTTTGTATATGTGTTATTAAATATAAACGTTAGATTTATATTTAGAACTTATAACACCTCTTTTGATTAGCCAGAAAGGCTGAGGAATATTACTTAGGTGTCCATGCTCCAAGGAAACAGACTGGTGCAATTTTGCACCACAGCCTTGTTTTGGGTTAACTCTAGAGGAACAATGTCAACTGAATTTCGTAATGGATGTTCTTGCAACTGGGTGCAAACTCACCAACCAACAGTAGCAGAAACCCTCCTGGGAGGCAGAACTGCTAACAAATCGGCCTATTCTGGGTGAGTCGTACCCCCTCTGAAAGGATCACGTTGAGAGCTTGGGCATGTTTTGGGTACTAACTTGGGGGCGCTCACTTCTGGCTGTAGGGCTGGTCGCTAAAGGTTAGCTGGCTCTTGTGTCTTCAACTGCTTCTGTCCTCTTTCTGTTCCATTTCTGCAGAAAGCAGGTCTACCTCATTTACATCCCCGTCAGACGAGATGGGGCTGAGGATGACTGTGCAACGGCACAGGCGAATAACCATAAATAAAAATAGCAACAGCTGAAGACTCATGGGATCCCAAATCCCACATATTCCCAGAAATCTCACTCCCGAAAGAATGCCCACAGCATCCATCTTTTGGATGACCTCATCCGAGAAGCTAGAGCATCTGAAGTAGAGGAAATGAAAGCCCTCTGCCTCCCTACAGACTGCTCAGCGCAGGCAAATATGCGGGTTTCTCTAGGAGTGATTTTCTTCCCTTCTGATGCAGAAGAACAGCTGAAGTGAGGATGGACCGTGTTCCAGTGACTTACCACAGTGCAGCAAAGGGGCCAGAACCACCACAGAAGAGCCAGGGCCAAGAGAATGAAAAGGATCAGCAAGACGATTGCCAGGATGGTCCCATCAGACTGTAAAGGAAGCATCACAGTTCAGTCGGGGCGGAACGGGGCTTACGCGTTCTGTTGAATCAGTCAACCCTTGTCCAGATTCTTGCTCGACTGCAGAGCTCGCTCATGTCAGCCATTTTTTTCCTATCTCTCCCAGCCCAACTTTCTTCGCTGTGTCTACAAGAAGGTAAAGTTGGGATTGAAACCACAAATGCTCCCTGATTCTTTGGGGAAGAAATTCAGAGTAGCATCCATTTAATTAAAGAGACGACTACTTGCAATTCATATCTTCACCCCCATTGAAGCTCCAGAACTTTAAAACTGTAGCCTGGAAATCTGATTTGCAAGTGGTTGTTGCACAACTACACACAAGACATAGGATGACCCAAAATCAAGCATAATAGGGACTCAGATATGCAAAATATATTGAACACTGAGCCAGACAGAACATGGGGCTCAGTCCAACTTCATTTCATTTAGCCCTTAGGCTCATTTAGAAATATGGGCCATTTGGACACTTTATGAACACTCGCCATATTCAGATGAGGCCTGGAAACATGCTTTAGAGAAATGGTTCTCAAATTGTTTGACCCAATTGCCCCTTTTCCAGGTCTCAAATAATGTCATTAACCTCCCCCCGCCCAACCCCCCCCCCCATTTCACAAGCATCTCAGCAGTGGAAGTCCCAAACTGGATCCTCAACTCACAAACAAGCAATTACAAGTTGCTTCATTACCCTCAGGATATGCCCAAGTTTCCCCATTGGGGGTTATTACCCCCCAGTTTAGAGCAATGAAGTTTGTGTTTCTCTGCTCACAAGCCTACCTGACAAGTCAACAGTCTGGTTTGTTCAAACCATAATGTTCTACATCCAAATGTTGGAAAACAGAATTGGATGAAACCACAACTAGTCTGCAAGCTAGAGCTGGAAAACAGGATCACAGCTTGGTTTGAGATCCTGGCTTGAAATGGCAAACTGGTTTGGTCAAGTCAGGATGGGTGTTTTGAATCTGGGGAAGAGAGAGTGTGCAGGCACAGACCTCATTCCCAACTCAGCAAACTAATCCGGAGCTCCCTATGCTGGGTGGAATACGAATTTTAATAGACCTGAAGACACCAGGCTGAGGACCATTTCAACAGAGCCACCAGCTCTTCCTAGAGGCTTTCCTCTCAGTAAAATGCTCTGACAACGGATTATTTCACTTCACTTGCAAGGGTAATTTCAAGTACAGACTATGCACTTCCCCAAACCAGCTAATATTTCTGAATCATTCCTCACTGATGTCATCAGGCCTTTGAGATCAGCTAGCAGGCAAAATTAGGCCTGGCAAAAGTTTATCTTAGAGGCTTTGGTTTTATAGAACCAGACAGTTAAAATAACAAAAATGACCCATGGGTAGGTTCCATCTGCTGTAAAATAGCACTCTGGAGCTTGGCTGATCCTGGCACGCAAGAGGATGGGTTGGTAGATGAGGGAAAGGCTCCTACATTCATATGCGTTGATTACTCAGCACTCAAGAGCTGGAAGCTGAATAGAGTGGCTGCACCACCACGGTTTAGCACCACATGCATGTGGTAAAATAGCCTTGCGTGCCCAACTCTCATTTTCTCCTGCTTCATGGCTGAGAAAAACATGTCTAGAGCCCCAACATATTTGGATGGCCCCAGTTTGAGGGAATCTGCATTAGAGAATGGTTAGAAAATGCAAACCAACCCAGAATGGAAGCTCATTGCCTGCCCTGATGGCAACAACTCTCTAGAATTTCAAGCTGGGGTCCTCTGACTTGCCTGCTGAAGATCCTTCTAGCTGGAGAGTGAACTGGATTGTCTATATACAAAGATTGTCTATACACATGACGTTCCACCATGGGACTTCTGTTCATTCCCTGAGTCTTCCCTCACTGGGGACCCTTAATGTACCTCAATCCTTGCTGGATTGATGAATAGCCACTGCCCTGGACATTCCACTCTTCTTCGAAGATACAGGTACCACCCCAAGAGCCCATCAATAATTAGTCCGTGCCCATCTGGACACATGAACTCCCTCCACAGATGCAAGTGGGGATGCCATAAACTGGCTCAGTGGTAGATTAAAGCAGGAAAACAGATTATTTCCCGGACTAAGAAGGCTCGGCAAAAAAAATGTTCCAGACCATGGATGGGAATGAAATAAAGCCAGCCTTGCATTTCAAGGGCATTCTGATGTAAATTGCAAGAGGGGAAAGAGGCAGAACCATGCTCTGGAAGCCATGGGAGAAGCCTTCGGATTTATACACCACCCCTTTCCCGATCTGAAGATGCTCTGAGCTGTAATAGGAGCATTTGCCCCAGAGAAATTGATGAGGTAACCCAGGCTTTGTGTGCCAAAAGTGCCACAGTCAACCCACAGCACAAGGTAGTGTGGATAATATTCATCTAAGTGGGACCAACACTGAATTGGTATAAGGCAGACGGCCATCTTCATCTGAACAAAGGACCTTGTGCATGGAACATGCGTGCTTATTGGTGCCACCAGTGTTGACTGGGCCCCGGGCAAGCTGTCCTCAGTGGTCCTATGTGCTCAGGCATGTTAGTTTGCTCTGTGCTCTTAATCATTCTTTGTTGGGCAATTTGGTTTCCAAAAGCAAAATGTGTTTAATTCAGTTACAGAAAAGAAGGCCATTAAGTTCCGCCTCATGCATTTCCTCAGGTAAATGTTTATACCTTTAGATATTTGTAGTCCTAAGCACACAGCTTTCTGCAACAGAAACATGTCTCTTTTCCTCCTTGCTTAAAGTTCTTTTCTCTAGGCTAAATGTATGTAGTTTCTTTTCTTCTAGTTGATTTATCCCCCCTGTAGGTCTACTTAAATTGTTTCCACCGTAGGAATGTTCTCCTTGAACCCCTTTGGCGCCCAAGCTAAACAGAGGGGAGACTCCAAATGAGAAGTAACACACGAGTCCAATTCTTTGCAAAATTCTCCACACTCAGAGCCAGAAGAGATGCAAAATCAATGTCGTTCTCAAATCGCAAATTCAGAATATAACTCAGGAAAGGAGCCAGAGAATTGTTTTCAATTAAAGGCATAACAAACAGCAGCAGGAGACGTTAACCCTAGCTTTAAAAAATATAGCTCGTTAATGAACATCTTAAAATGTGTTGCCATTTAATGCCATGTTTAAAAGCATTTTCTACCGATTACTTAGCATGGGTAGTTATTTTTAGAAAAATGTTTGGAATTGTCAGAAATGACCCTACTGTGATACTGTACGACATTTGCTTATAGAGCAAAGATGCTCAAGTCGCCAGATGTTTTAAAGTTATTCCGCACAGCTTAAAAAGCCAATCTGGGATCACTCCCAGCCTTGAAGTTCCTGCTCGGAGAATGCTTGCTCCCCACAGCTGCTTTCTAGCATCTTCCAGCTGTTGTTCCTGCCAAAATCACAGCAAGGAAGGCAGGCTTTCTATCCCTTCAGTGTGGCTGGGTGACGCTGTGAAAACACCATAGGTCACTAGAGGAGAAATGGCCCCCCAAAGGCAGTTTTGCCAGAATGGTAGCAAGAGTTGCTGGAGAACTTCCTCAGCTTTCCAGATGAGGACCTGCAAGGATACCCTGAGCATCCACTTCTCCCTTTGCTTGTAGTATGGATTTAAATGAAGGGTTCCTCCCGATTTAAGAGGTCTTAAATCCACTGTTTAGTGCTGAATCAATAATATTTGGCAAAGAAAAGTAGCAATAAGGAAGCTGAACCTCTAGGAACATAACAGACTAGACATTAACTGGTGAGTGTTTGTGCATGCATCTACCTGGTTATTCCAAAAACCAAATAAAAGAAGGAGGTGTTTTTTTAAAGGGAACTCTCTCTCATTTGCCCAGAAGAAAAGGCTACCTTGAGTCTTCTCTTTTTTGTGGCATCCATGGAGGTGAGTGTCCAAAAAGTCAAGTTATGGTTGCAACCATGCAATTAAAGCCCCTTTTTTCTGGGCGTCACACCCACGGTACATGTAAAAAGGGGGCAGGCTTTGACTGTGCAATCATGACTGCCACCTTGACTTTTTGGACACCCTCCTGGGGGTGCCCCATGACAGTGGCACAGTTTAGGTGGAAGGGTGTGTATGCGAGATAGCCCAGAGGAATCTCCCTTGTGCCCTCCTTAACCCTGGCAGCCCCCAAGCTCTTTCATGCCAACAACAGATCAGAACCAAACATCTCACAGGGCAAAACCAGGGGCCATTTTACTAGATACATCTAGATATACCATTCATTGATAAATCTGCATCTTCAACACCTTCACAATCCTCATAGCTTCTCTATTCCTCTTCATTATTTAATCTCTGCTTGACAAAATATTCAGGGAACACGGTGAAAATTTGCCGGTTGTTTCCTCAGTCTGTATACATGAGAATGTGAGTTCATTCATCCAAGCAGAACATGATCCAATGTGGCCTCCCCCATTGCTTTCCCAGCAGAGCAGCCTCATCCAACTTGTCATCCTCTGTATATAACTACAATACCCATCACTTTGGCAGAATTAGCTGTAATATGACATTTTTGGAGAGGGCCATGTCATGGAAGGTCACTCTTTCTGCATTTATGCTTATAAGGAAATATATTTTGCTCCTGCTCTAAGCATGAATGAATGGAGACTAATATATCTTATACCAATTAAAAAAAAACTTGTTAAAAGTTAGCTGCATCTATTCATTCTTCTCCTCTAAACTTTTGCAATCTGTGGGTCTATTTGGTAAATATCAATCATCTATGAAGATCCATCCTTGCCCTTATCTCTCCACAGCATTTGAATGAATGTCATTTGTTTATTTTGCTCATTCACAGTATTGAATCCTGCCTCTCTTGCATCTCCTGCCCCGAGCTAGGGAATTAGCCCTCATTGGCTACAATGACTACCAACCATAGATTCGGGCAACAGCAACCTAAGAAAAAGACCAGCAGGTGCACGCAGGGAGCTGAGAAACTTCTGCACACCACAGCATCCAAGCAGCTCTTCAACTCGCTCCTGTTGCCATCGAGATGTGCACAA